CTTCTTCAATATGTCACTATTGCTACCACAAATGGTACATATATTTAATGTAATCAACCACACTGTCAAAAACCTGTGACAAAGTAACTTGTAAGACGTAGTGCACAAATGAAAAAAAAAAGAGTAAGTGATCACAATTCTCATGCTAAAACTAGAAACTGATACTTTCCTGTTTTAAATTTAATGTTCCTACATTTTGATGAATTTAAGAAAAGATCCATCATTAACAAATATGGGGTTTATACTGATAATCATACTTAAAGTCTTCTAAAATGACTAGTGTTTAAAGAATTGAATGCCTCATTGCTATGAGCCAACTCCTCCACACAGTCTGGCAACTGTTCAGTTAAGCATGAAATGCAACAAAACTTCAAAATTATTTTCATAAAACAGATTCAAGTTTTACATAAATTTCATTTATTTAAAAAAAATGAACTTGTGAATCAACAAATACAGAAGTATAAAATAATGTAACAAGTATTTTTAAAGTGCTTATTATAAGCCATGTAATGTACAACTGTAAAAAGAAAACTGGTGCATACAATACTGAATGTGATATTTTCAAGTGCCACAAAATGCCACCACACAAATGTCAATAAACTAAGGGTATGCTAATTTAAATTCAAATTAAAAAAAAAGGCAGGAACTATGCACATTTGGCAAGCTGAATCTGATTGTGAAAGTTGCTATTTTTCTCTAAATAAAGCCAATAAGAAGTAGTTATTCAAAACTATTTCTCCCTCCCAAAATGCTAATGATTACCTGTTTTGAGACTTCCTGAGCTGGATTTAGTTTATCTTTTACTGAAAGCTGAAGTAACTTGTTTTATATGGATATTACCTGAAATTGACTAGAGGAAGTTATGAAAGCTCTAATACCAGAAACATTTCTTAAGTTTTAGAATATTTTGAGCAATGTTTGCTTATTTATTCTTACATGACATTGGCAAAATTTTTTTAGTTAGTTCTAATTCACACCTAAAATTACTATTAAGAATGAAAACATACCCCATATTTATTACAAGTAAAACTTTTGATGTCTTAGGATAATATTCTCTCTATGCCCTTCCATAACACTCAAACAAGTTGACTTCAGTAACTATTACTTTCATATTTGCAATGATTTAAATGCCACTATTTAAAATTATATGTAATTATTAAAGTATGTGAACTATTTGAAGTTAAGTAATTCACAGGAATTTACAAAGGCCAACAGAAATGAAACAACCCAAATTGGAGGTATGCTTCTCTATAAACCATGAAAAGTCCAGGAAATGGTTCCATACCTTAGGAAAGTACATTCATAATATGTTATGTAATATGTCTCTGTGTGGATTTGTTTCCTCTACCAGCAGTGATAGTTTTTTCCTACTACAGCAGTAGAATGATTTCATGTTCTCATTCCAGTGCTGATCAGGACACGAGGGGATAGCCAGACATTCCCTAAATTCATTTAAAAAATATTATGAGTATGTCTAGCTGTGATTTTAAAATTATACATATAGCAGTACATAACTAGAATTTAAAGTGACATAAAACAATGGGACTTTTTTTCTTTCAAAATAGTTTTCCATTCAATAAAAACTATTTGATTCTCTAATCTAACTGGCATGCCATGCTGTGAGAGACAGGTCATTAAATGTAAAAACGATGATTATATTCTCCATATCTCTAAACACCATCATTATCATCATCATCATCATCATCATCATCATCATCATCATTACTACTACCTTTTATAATGAACTGACAGGGATAACAGATTTCTGCAGTTAGTGAGTAAAGAATTTAGATAATCAGCATTGGCAAGAACAGTGCTCCTGAATTTAATGTGACTATAAATCTGACCCATTAACAGAATACTTTCTAGAGAGAAAGTAGTCATTTCTGTATGTTAATGGCTGATGTTTCTATTACTATGTTTTAAATACCTTGTTTTTGTGAGATTATATAAATACTGAGGGGGCAAGGAAAAACAGACCTCCCATTTCAAATTCTTCACAGAACACCAAAATCAGGACATAAACTAACCACGAGAAGCAAAACTTTCTATTCTGATTCAAAAATTAGTTTCAGTCATTCCATTGTCTTCACTTCTTTGCCCTTTCACTTTAAAAGATATTTCCTAAATAATATCTACATATATCTAATATTGTACATGTAGGTATTATTTCTCCAATTTGGTTTTTAGTTAAAGTTCTGTAAAATTTATCTCAGCATTTTTATATGATTATAACTTGGTACAACTTTGTGGAGGGAAATTTGGCACTATGTACATTTTTTAATGAGTATGACCTGTGACCCAAAGATTCCAGTTCTGAATATCCTTCATTCCAAAGAGCTCAAGGGTATTTATAAAGACATTCTTTGAAATAATTCTCTGTCCAACTACTGTCACATAGAAGAATTAAGTTAATTTAATTTTATAAATACAGGCTATGTGATATTCTGCAGGGTTTGAAAAGAATGGTGTAAATCTATATACTGACATGGAAAGATACTCAAATATAATGGTGAGTGAAAATATGTCTCAGGACAGTATGAACAGATAGATATAAATATTTATATGTGCACAGCAATAGTCTAAAAGAATGCACAACACATTATTAGTACTAAATACCCACACCAGAAGGGAGGTACTTATTCTCTGAAACTCTTTCCCTTTAATAAGCAACCAAAAAAACATCTCCAGTTTTCTTGGAGAGTTTGACTCATCTATAAATGGCATACTATTTAATTAAAATTTATGATTTAGAAAGATATTTTGTAAGTAATTATCTTACTTAGAATCATTTTTAATTTATTCAGTTGTCTTGATGCATCATTACAGAAATGAAAACTTTATAGCTCAGTGGATGTTTTAACACAAGCAATTCTGGAGACTAAAGATCTTTACGTTAGTTTGCTCAGCTATTTTAGCAAATGAGACATTTTCTGTATCAAAGATCAACAGTTTTTACTAAATAATAGTGTAAGAGATAAAAGGCATTAACATCAAGGATTATGCCAATTTAGAAACAAGCCTAAAATGTTGTTCACTCATCTTTATTGAGAAACAAAATAATTATTCTGAAGGACATAATGAAATAAGACCATAATTTAAGTATGCTATTAAAAATTTTTAATATATTCTACTCTAGTCAGGGATAGTCACTTAAACTAGGCTGCATGATTACTGAAACTACTGTGTCCAGCAAATCTAGGCAACTGGTAACAGGAATCACAGGTAATCAAATTGCTATTATTGAGACTGCTTGGAAACTGCTGAATTCAGAGATGATGACAAACCACTGGATACCTTAGGTTAGGTGGGAAAACCTAAGCAGAAAATATATACTGCAGTATAAGGCATTCAGAGTATGAAGCCAAAGGCAGAAGACAAACATGATTTTTAAAAAATGACATTAAGAGTTAATGTAAAAAAATATTTTTAAAAGCTGGGAATATGTGAGAAAGATTCTTAATTAATTAATTACCAATAATCCATAGTGCATTTCATTTGAGCTACTTTAACAATGTAAGGAAAGTGCCACCCTTCTTTTGCTGCCCAAACCCATCATCCTTTTACTTAATAGGAAACAGATCACACTTTATGGGGGGGTCTGCTTTCTTGTTCCACTTAGGATCTTTGGAAAGTCCCAATCTTTACAGATCTGTTTTCCAATCAATAAAATATAGAAGTTTAATTTAAATATTCTTAATTAGAGATCTGTGTCAGAGTCACTTGTGGAGTTCTCGTGCCCATGTACCACATCCCTACCATAAATTCTAATGTGATAACTTTGAAGGGGGACCTAGGCATCTGTTGAGAATCACTGAAGTAGATGATCAATGATGTATAGAGAAAAGCAATTTCAAATATTTTTTCTTTTTCTCTCTCTCTCCCTTAAAGAGAAGGCCAAAAATAGCAAATATTATTTATTTCTGTTTTGGTATGTGAAGGAAAAGAAAATGAGAATGGAGTTAGAATTACATCTTTTATAAACAGTACACAATTCAGATAAAAGCAGTTCATTCTCAAAGATACAAGAACTCAGTGCCTTTTTAGATAAAAAGAGATATCATCACTTAATATTTATTAAGCACCAACTCAGAGATAAAAATCTCTAAAACTTTCTTTTAATAGCACTGAGACATTTTGCTCAGTGAATATGCAGTATGTAATTCTATTTAGAGTCACCACACTATCCTAGGGGCATAGTGACTGACACAGACGACGATCCCCACCCTCATGCACAGAGCTTACATCTAGAGAGCCATCACCAATTGCTTAATGAAGACTGGTTTTGGAACACATGATCTGTCCTTTACTTTCTATCACTCTGGATGAATACATGAATGGAAGGATACACAGATGGAGCTACAGAGATGAACGGAGAGACGAAGATGGGTGGCAAGGCAGAGACCAGTAAAAGACAGATAAACAGATTTGTAATACATTTAATATATTTTTTTCTTGAGAAAGCAAGTTCTTCCATATGTCCTTCATGCAAGTACATAATATTTTTACCAGAAAAGGAATCTGGTGTTGCCTATTTAGGCCTGGATGTATTCCAACAATATCTGATATAAGTAATGTATGTTTATATAAAATTCCACTCTAATATCAGTATTTTCCTTCCTTACTTCCAGGGCTGGAATACCGTAATGGCCAATGCCTTGACTAAAAAGTCTAAAAAGACTGAACAATGTTCTAAAGGAGGATTTTAACAGAAAAATTTGAGAAAAACTATTTAAATGAGAATTTAACATAGATTATAGACTATATTGACTGTGTAGGTTTCCCAAATATGTCTAAATTACCATAATTAAATCCAAACACATTTTCTGAGTATTCTCTTAATTATTAGGTACCTATATATATATAAGTAGAGCCTTAAATTACGCTTTGCAACAAGACTTGCAGGAAAGAGGAATAAAGAACATGTTAAACTCACCTCTTGGCCAGATTTTCCTGAATTTTCTGAATGTAAAGACTCAATTTCTCCTTCAATCATAGCAGCTTCTAGGCACTCGTGCAGATCTTTGAATCCATTGACCTGAAGTGGGTACTGACCAAACATTTCAGTATTTTCAAATTTTTTACCTGTTAAGACAGGGAAAAGTTAATTAATTTGTTCCTCAATATGGCCTTTTATCTACTAAAAGTAAATGTATATACAAATTATCTCCTGAACCTGAAAACTGTAACTGTTTATGTTCCAGACTGCAGTAAGTTAGCGTAATTTTCCTGTTGGTTCATACATGCACACATGTATATTCCCATCTAGCTATTGATATTCATTATACACCCACATGTGTTTATGTACACAATTATACATACACGTGTGTGTGTGTGTGTTTATTTATTCTTTCAAAAAGTACTTTATAAGGGCACGATAGCTGTGCTAAAACAGAATATATACAGCAGTGTACAAAAGAGATATGGCATCTGAGCCAAAGAAACTCTCAGCCTCTTTTGGAAAAAGACATTATACACATTATTTGCACATATAATTAGAACTAAATGATTGTCTGTTATTACAGATGTTATAAAAGGGGTGGTGAGACAGAGTGCTGTGAGAGGGTATATAAAAGGGAGCAAACCTAGCTTTTAAAGCTGGAAGGTAGAGCAGGGAAGGCTTCCATAGCAAAATGACATTTGCACTGAGACTTGAAACGTGAGTGGGAGTTGGCCAGGCCAGAGTGTTGGGAAGCCAGAGTGTCCTTGGCCAAAGGACACACACAAAGACTTTCAAATAAAGGAAGTGGCATGTTTAAAGAATGAAGGGAAGGGAAGTATAGCTTGGGAGAGCAATGAGGAGACAACAATGAAGAGTGAGGTGGGGCATAAAAGTCAAATTCTTAACAAAGTCCAGTAGCCCTGGTAAAGTGAGCCTGGTTTTTCCAGTATATTCTGAGTAAAATAGAAAGCCACTGGATAATTAAATCTAGGAATAACAGGCTCAGATTTACATCTCTGAAACATCCTTATGGCTTCTGTGTTAAGTGAATGGTAAGTTAGGGGACTTACAGAAAAGAATCCATCTAAAAATAAAGGTAGTATGGAACAAGGTGTTAATAGTAAAAGTGCATAAAAACAGGTGAAACTGCACCCATTTATAAATATATACAAAAGGGAGCACCAATAGGACATGAGTCACTGGCATAGACAGGACGGGGGCTAGAAGAGAAAGGAAGGTATCAAGAATGATACTCAGATATTTAGCATGAATGACTGAATTGACTTTATGTCCTGAAAGGGGCACCAGTGAAGGAAGAACACAGAATTATTTTTCCTTTTGTTATAAGACAGCAGGGACAATCTTTAGTTTACAATGGCCTATGAGACAGCAAGTCAAGAAGAGTTGGACATATGAGTCTGTAATCAAGATTAATCTTTTGGTCTGAAGCTACAAATTGGAGAAGTGCTGGCTTACTGATAGCAGGAAATCAAGGGAGTCAGTGAGACTGCCCAAGGGATTAGCAGACAGGAAGAGGAGAGGGCCCAAGTCCCAAGGATCTCCTATCTCAAGATATAAGAAGAAACTATAAATATAACTTCTAAGAAGTACTCACAGAGCCATGAAAAAAGCCAAGAGAATATACTGTGACAGAAGCCAGAGAAGCATTTCTAAGGAAAAAGGAGGAGAGAGCAAAGTCAACAGCATTCGGAGCTGACAAGAATTAAACGAGAACCAAGAGGGATCCAATGGACTAACACACATGTAGGAAATTAAAGAGATCTCCAGATAGAGATACTAGAGTAAGATAAAAGAGATACTAGATAGAGTAAGGTCTGAGTGAAAGCATGAAAGGATGAGATTCTTAACACATATTAAGAACAGCCATTCAACTTAGACTGAATAATTTCTTTATTACCTGGAGGGACAAATAAAAAGAATGTGGCGGAGGTAGGAATGGAATGAGAAGCCTAAAGCTCATATAGTTGAGGAGTCATTTTTAAGAACTATGATAAAAAATCATAAACACATAACTAGATTCAGGGTCTTAGACAGGACCCATGGTTAGGCTTCAGCCGCTTCAGAGTTAAATTTACGAAATTTATTTAAGGTTAAGATCTTTCTCAAAAAAAGAAGAGACAAAGAAATTAAATTAGAAGTAGAAAAGCTGGAAATTGTTATTACAGAAAATGGGAAAGAAGATAGTAAATTAAACAAACCAAATATGAATGCCAAGTAGGGTTATGGGATTGGGACCAGCAAAGCTTGGAATCACTACAACTCTGGGATCCATTATAGTTAGCCCATGTGAATGACCTTCCCCTAGCAACAGTCAGGCACTCAGCACATGCAGAGAAGAGAAATAGCTTCACGAGGGTCAGAGCCTACCCTGAGAAGTGGTGCCAAAAGGGAATGAGAGAAGTTTTAGATATGTATAGGAATGATCATAATGAGCAAGGAAGGAAGTGAAGAAAAAGGCTAAGGAACAAAAGTAGAGGTCAACGGACCAGAAGTTCTGGAAGAGCCGAAGAATTTTTACAATGGAGTACTTTCAGTAAACAAACTGAAAATCACCCCCAATTAAGAGTCCCTAGCCTAAAAGAAATCATTAGGAAGATATCTATAAATATGATAAGTGCTCTAAGATAAATTATTTTTACTGAAGCAAACACACAGTTCACCTGGAAATGTATTAAAATCACATTTATGCAACACAATAGCTTGGAAACAACAAACTAAAACCATGTACAAAGACTTCAACACTAACTGGAAATTATTTTAATAATCACTTTTAAGAATCTAGATAATACAGGTGGAAATGCTCATGAAGAGTGTTATAAACAGTGCCCAGTCACAAAGTGATTAGAGCTCCTCTACTGCTCAGATCCAGTGCTCCACCTTCAAATAAAACTGCTATGACAGTACGGACAGCCCAATGGAATGTAATGCATGGTACAAAACATTCCACTATTTATATAATGAATATTTAACATCTGAGACAAACAAAATGTACTAACACCCCAATATAACCTTTGGAATGTCTGACTAAATTCTGAGTTAGTGTCTGCCTCTGTTTAAATCTCAAACTACAAAACTGGTCAAAGCTTCATGGGAATCCATCACTTAAGATCATGAGGAAAAAATCAATTTTCTGAATTTTATACTTTGGGTGATATGGATAAACTTTCAAAACTTGAAGTATTGGTCCATTTGGGAAACACACTTTTTTAAAAATGTATGCTTTGGGAGTCAGTAGTATTATTTGAAGTATATCTTATGAGTCAGTTCCCATCCCTTGTTAAGAAAACCAAAGAGTAATTGGTTAGGTCTGGATTTTAAGTTATTTATAGTTATCACTCAACTGATTTTCCAAAAGATAGAAAATAACTCTTTCTTGAAAACTGTATTTTAAAGAATTTTATAATCATCTCAATATGGAAACTCTGCAATATCCTGACTATGCTAAATTGCTAAGTACAGCTTTCAACCTGCATACACTTGAAACCCTCAATAATAGTGCCCATCACACCATGCCTAGTATTCTACCCCAATATTACTTTCAAAAGATACACCAACTGCCCTCATAATCCTTGTATCCTCCCAACAATTCACAGTATCACAGAACCCTTCCCAGGGAAAGAACATCAGGATAACATTAACTGAGTATCAATTAGCATATGATAGTATACTCTGTACCTTCCTTTACATGCACTCAATTCTTCGTTTTCTATGTAAATTATTAGTAGTAATGCAACAGAAACTACTAGAATAAGTCAAATTAAAAGTTAAAGCTGTTCCACAAAGTCAGTATCATGACAAAGAAGCTAATTATTAATAATACCTCAATTGTAATTAAAAAACAAATATACGTAACTGTACCTTCAAGTACTCCTACAGCTAGGAATCTTCCATAGAACAACTCTACCATGGGGTTCTTTGGCTTTTCTTCATCCCTAAAAATCATGTTAAAAACATAAATGTTATAATTTTTATACCTGTAAATAATAGAGAAAACATTAAAAGAACAATTCTATATGCCAGGACAATAACACTTATGTGATTATCATGCACTTGGCTCTGCTATTTACAGTGTTGGGCCAAGGAACTTAAATTTAGTCTCCATTTCTTCACCTGTCAACTGAGGATAATAATCGTTACTGAACCACAAGGCTATTGTATGGGTTAAAATGAGTTTCTACACGGGAACTCTTGTAAGAGGACCTCAGCACAGTCTGCGTTCATGAAGCAATAGTTCCATTATCATCACATATTTCAATTTTAGACTTTCAGTCTGTACAATATATGCTTTTTTGGACTTGCTGGGAAGGGGGAAAAGCCACTTAATCAAAGTAAGCTTCTATAAAATTTGAATATGTCATTTCTCACATTTACCTAGAAGAGTGCACTCCAGCAGTCAACAGCGAAGGAGCAAATCAGCAGCTTTGACCCAGGTAGCTAAAAGCTACTCCAGTCTTTCTACAGTTTCATGTTGCTGATAAAATTACTCACTTGTAAATTTTCCAATTTCTTTAACATATGAATTTGTTGTTTTTCCTTTTTTGCTTGAAGTAAATAGAAACTGATAAATTTTAACCTTTTCTCTTTATGTTTTATACTCTGTGGTGCAAAAACACAAAGTTTATATTGGTCTTACTGTATGAAAGTATGTTGTATCCACAACTGTACAGAGACTTTTTCTTCATGAATTTTGTATTTAAATTAGTAAAACTAACTTAATTTAAAAAGGAGAGAAGGACACTATCTGTCTCTTGATAAATGTACTATACGCATCATCATTTAAACCATAAAACAACTGGTGGGAAGTATGTGACTTAATCTTTGCAGCAGTCCTATGAAGTAGCGTGGTGGTCATTAGTGTTATTCAAAAAGATTTCTGGCCTTCTACTTTCAAGTGTATACTAAAGCACTTTCCCACTCACTCATTTAAATGTTAAATAGTTTTAAATTGTGATAAAATACATGTAATATAAAATTTACCATCTTAACCATTTTTAACTGTGAAGTTCGGTGGTGTTAAGTATACTCACACTGCTGTGCAACCAATGTGCAGAACTTTCTTGATCATGCAAAACTGAATTCCCTTGTTAAACAACTCCACATGTCTCCCTCCCGCCAGGTCCTGGCAACCACCACTCTACCTTTGAGCTTGACAACCCTTGACATCTCATGTAAGTGACATATGGTGTTTGTCTTTTTGACTGGCTTATTTCACTTAACAACATGTCTTCAAGGTTCATCCATGTTGCAGCATATATCAGAACTTCCTTCCTTTTTAAGGATATTCCACTGTACATTTATACCACATTTGTTTTCCCATTCATCCATGGACATATGAGTTGCTTCCAACCTTTTGTTTACTGTGAATAATGCTACTCTGAACTTATCTCTTTGAGATCTGGCTATCTTTTGGATATATACCCTGCAAAGGAATTGCTGGGTCATGTTGTTAATTTTTTTTTCATCTTTGTAGGTATAACTGACAAAGTTGTAAGATATTTAAAGTGTACAATGGGAGGTTAGTTATATGTATAAATTGTGAGAGTATTCATTTCATCAAATGATAATTCTATTTTTAATTTTTTGAGGAACAACCATGTTTTCCACAGCGGCTGCACCATTTTACATTCCCATCCACAAAAAGGTCCAAATTTTTTTCACATTTTCTCCAATACTTGTTATTTTCTGTTTTCTTTTTATTTTTGATAGCAGCCACCCTAATGAGTGTGAGGCGTTCCCACTCACTTTAAAGTTAGGTAAATCACATGACTTGCTTTGCACAGCAAAATGGGAACGGAAGTGATGCGTGTCATTTCTGAATGACTGAAACTTTGAGAGGCAATGTATCTTTTATTGACATGGTGATCCCAGAAGCCTGTGATGAGATGAAGCCTCTGTCAGCCTGGGGCACCGAGTGAATAAATGAGCAGAGCCCCTTGCTCACACTCACTGGGCACTGCTAAGGCTATGATTTAAGCCTCTAAAGTTGTGGGGATGTTGCCACAAGATTATCTAGCCCACCCTATATGGCGGCAGGTCTACTGTTACCTCTATTGTACTGATAATAAAACTGTAGAGTAGGTTAAGTCACTTGTCCAAATTCACTCTACTAGTAAGTCCTCAAGCTGAAAAGTAATCTGCCTCCAAAACCTATGCATATCCTACTACACATACTCAATTTCCCAGCATTTTAATTCCATGGAAACAGTTTATTTCACACCTTATTTTTCATACTCTTACAACAAAAAGGACTTGAGACTGATGTGGAAGAAGGAATAATCCAAAGATTGTCTTTCTTGATGTAAAAGTATACAAATTTTTAGACTTAAATATTAATAAGTATCTCCATTTCCATGGCATCATATTTCCATGTAGAAAAGCAACATTCCTTGCTTTTCTCCTTACTGTCACATAAATACCCAACAGAAAGAGCAATTGATGACGCTGGCAGAAGAAACTGGGTATGAGTGGCTCTAATAATTCTGAATTCTCCTTACAAATATCTTTTCAAATTTTCCTTCCTGAATTTCGGCCTGCCCTCCACTGACCTGAGGTAAGCACTGACCCTCCCTAAGGAGTCACACAGACCTACCTTTTAGATTGTTTACCCTTTTCTTTGCAAACTTTCAGCTTTGAATCACAGGGATCCAGACTGTGGTTATCAGCAGAAATGTAAGGAATACAAGTGAAGAGCAATTTAAAACACATGAGATGCCTATAATAAAAATGATATACCCACCACTTGCATAAAGACAGAAGAAAAGCTAGGTAGACACAAATATCAAAGGCCAAAAGAAATCGCTAAAGAAAATTTGTATCAAGGACACCTTAGCCTTGGGAGTTATGTTGACACAGAAAGAGTTCAAAGATTTAGGGCAACTGACAGAGTAACCTACAATGCTTTGGGTCAGTGCTTCTTAATCTTTTTAATGTCACTAGCACACATATACTATATGCAGAGAACTCTGGAGTGAAAACAAGTCTTTTCTCATGATCAGAGACACAGGCATCAATACCTCCATGTATCTATAACCTGGTAGGCACCATGGCACACCAATCTAAATAGGCAGAGCACAGTGGTTCACAAAGTTTTGGCTCCATAAACAGTAAAGAATAAACAGAAAGTTACTAAGAAATGAATGAGGACAGGGGTATATTTCAAATAAGACTTAATCCCCAAAGACTTAAGATTTCAGATAAAATGGGGAAGTTCTAGCTTCTTTTAAAACAGTTTAACAAAAAGGGGAGAGCATTTATTAGTTACTAGATCAGAAAAGGTGACTAAGACCCAAAGAAAACTTTTAAAAAGTAAATGAGTAATGAGGAAAGATTCCAAAGTGAGAACACAATGATTCCTTCAGAAGGTACTAAGCTTCAGAAAACAGTCAAGTGGCAGTCTTCCAAGGCTGCAGATAAAAAGCAATCAAGGAGTCGCAAGAAGTGCACACAGAAAATCTAGATAGATTTGACAGGAAGAACTAGGGATTTCAGAGTAATATAGTCAAAGAATCACTGCTGGGAAAACTGAACAGCTACATGTGAAAGAATGAAACTAAACCACTTTCTTATACCACATACAAAATAAACCCAAAATGTATTAAAGACTACCTGAAACCACAGAACTTTTAGGAAAAAACACAGGCAGTATGGTCTTGGACATCGATCTTATTAGTAGTATTTCTTTGATTACGTCTCCTCAGGCAGGGAAACAAAAGCAAAAATAAACAAATGGGACTACATCAAACTAAAAAGCTTTTGCAGAGAAAAGGAAACTATCAACAAGATGAAAAGGCCACTTACTGAATGGGAAAAGATATTTGCAAATGATATATGTGATAAGAGGTTAGTACCTAAAATATACAAAGAATTCATATAACTCAAAAAAACCCCAAAACTAATTAATAAATGGTCATAGAAGCTGAATACACATTTTTCCACAGAAGACATATAGATGGCCAAGAGACACTTGAAAAGATACTCAACATCACTAACCATCAGGGAAATGCAAATCAAAAGCACAACAAGGTATCACCTCACATCCGTCCGAATGGCTGTTAAAAAAATAACAAATAACAAGTGTTAAAAATGTGGAGAAAAGGAAACCTGCATGTACCGTTGATGGGAATGTAAACTGGTGAAGTCAATATGGAAAACTCTATGAAGTTTCCTCAAAAAATCAAAAATCGAACTACCCATAAGATCCAGCAATTCCACTTTGTACTTATCCAAAGAAAACAAAAACACTAATTCAAAAAAATACATGCAACCCTATGTTCACTGAAGCACTGTTTACAATAGCCAAGATATAAAAGCAACTTAAGTACCCATTTATAGATGAATGGCTAAAAATGATGTGGTATATATATACTACATAGTGTCATTCAGCCATAAAAAAGAATAAAATCTTTCCATTTGTGACAACATGGATAGACCTAGAGGGTAATGTAAGTGAAATAAGTCAATATGAGTTCACTTATATGTGGAATCTAAGAAATATAACAAAACAGAAACAGTAATATAGAAAACAAACAGGTGGTTACCAGAAGGGAAGGGGGTGGGGAATGAGTAAAATAGGTGAGGGAAACTATGAGGTATAAACGTCGTTACAAAGTAAATGAGTCATTGGGATGTACACCATGGGGAATATAGTCAAAAATAATCTAATATCGTTGTATATGACAAAGGGTAAAAACAAAAGGTACAAATTTCCAGTTAAAGGATAAATAAGAACTGAGGATGTTATGTACAGCATGATTAATATAATTAACCATACTGCTGCATTTTATAGATGAAATTGTAAGAGAATATATTCTAAGAATTCTCATCACAGGGAAAAATATTTTTTCTTTTTCTTACATTTTCTATCTGAGGTGATGAAAGTTCACTAAACTTACTGTGGTAATCATTTCATAATGTATGTAACTCAAGCATTTTGCTGTATACTTTAAACTTACACGATGGTGTATGTCAATTACATCTCAATAAAATTGGAAGAAAAACAAACAAATATAAAAACAGAAAAAAGAGAAGGTGGATAATTTTCAGCCTTGGGTTTCTGCCTGTACTCTAGGTGTTACTTTAAGTACTGCATCATGCAGAATCACATCAGAACCTCTAGTGGCAAATCCTAAATGGTCCACCAATGTTTCAAGACACACAAAGGAACCAAAGATTGATATTAGGAGAGTGGCTTCATGAGAATGGGAGTAGGACTCATCCTGAAAGTGCGTGGATTTCTTTTCTTAAGGAGGTCTGCCACATATTTTAAATAACCAGTCTTAATGGTTCAACCTAATAGGTAGAAAATAAGAAGCAAAAGAATGTTGAAGAGAAACTTCACACCCCTGTCTTCATGACTGATTCCATGTAGAGACTTCATCAGAATCACCACTCCTGGTTATCATTCCCTACCACTAACCCATTCATTCCTCTTTGTGGAACGTGATTGTTGTGTCTAAGGTAAAGAACTGAGCATATGTGATCAGCTTTTTCAGAGATCACTTCTTAGATCCTTCTCACTAGATTCTGATCTTATAGTGGAAATCTAAAGCTACCTAGCATTTGTGGCCACAAACTCCAAAGAGCTAGCCAATAATATGGATAACATTTGGGTTTCCATGCATTTAACTCAGATTCTTTCTTCTCTGTC